TGATAGAGAGATTGTGATAGAACTTATAGAGGTAAACACAGCTTATGGGAGAAAACAACTTATACGTGCACGCAATTAAGAGAAAGCGTGTTTGTACTAACTTCCACTCGTCAATATCATAACGATATCAGCTCTCTTGTCTTGTCACCTCACTCTCACCCTTCGGAGCGGAGAATTATGGCATAGTGGCTAGTAGCTAGTAGCTAGCCAGTGGGGGGGGGGGGCGGCATGGGCCTAAGGGATGCTATGGGCCTAATTGCTCAGCTTCCAGCGAAGTTCTTGTCAATTTCCACTTCTTGAAGATGGCACACCGCTCGGAATCTCGTTCCGGATCATCTAACACTTTTGAGATCATACCCTTAATTTATCGCGGAAAGCGCCTTTAAGTCGCTACTATTTGATGTAGCCAGAAAGCCGAACGTGGCCGACTCTTATGGTAACCTCATTTTAATTATTGGGAGAAGTGATTCAACTGCTTCATCGTGGACACGTCGAAGAAGGATAGCTCGTTTCACAAGTGTTTTCTAACAGGGCACAGGCATTCGATGGGATTTTTCGAGCTTTCGACCCCCCCCCGCTTTTTTTTTCAGGGGCTGGTCACCCCTCTTCCCCATGCTGTACGAGTACGTCGCATGCTTACTACATACGACCCCCCTCCCAACAACGACCAAATACGACCCCCCCCTCCAAAACGTCCGCAAAGCGAGAAAAATCAACTATAAAAATAAATTTTTCCCAGCCCAAATACGACCCCCCTTTTGGCGGCCTCATACGACCCCCCCCCATAGGGAATCCCCATTGAACGCTGTGCCCTGGTTTCTAACCGTAAGAAATTAGGATGAGATCATGAGACGAGCATGTGACCCAGGGTGAATGGCTTTCAAACCGCGGTATAGACAGCGCTGCTACGTTTAGGGGATTACGAGAGTACATGAACCCTTTGTGTGTAGTCCTGTTGCGAAAGTCTTAATGCAGGCAGCTAGAGTCATGGCGAACGATCGTTGAGGCATTCCCCAGCAAATGGTTGAATTAGATTGTTGGAGGGGGGTCGTATTTTCTCTAAGAAATGTTTTCTCATTAACTATTCCCGTCTATGGGTTCTATGCTTCTCCTGCCCCGACCCCTGGTGGGTGACTCCGCAAAACTGCAATTCCTGATAGTTAGTCGAAGGTAACCGTGGTTATCTACCCCACTACCAAAGGCAAGTTTCAGGGAAGGAGAAGGGAAGTGCCTAGTCTTCTCCCCTGCCCCCTCCCTTTCACATTTTTTGATTTTTTTTCATTAAAATTAAATTTGTATTTTAGGAAACATTGAAAAGATGATCCGTCGATGAGGAAGGGAGTCGTCGAAGGGAGTCGAGAAGAAAATTTGACTGCATAGCATTTTGCAAACTTTCTCTTCAACGGGGTGTGCCCTAGCTGGAGCGGCTGCTAAAGCATAGAAAGGAAAAATATATGATGAGGTGGAAAATTAAAACTTTCATGGAGGTGGAGCATTACTGAAAAGCTGAAATTCGGGATGCCGCAGTGGTCATAGAATATCGTATAAGACAAGAGAGTGGGGGCAGAGATAACACAGAGAATTGAGTGCGATTGAAAGATTCGCTTCAGTTTTTTCGGTAGATCGCTTGACTGGATGTTGTTCTGTTGCTAACTTCCGCTCGCGCTTGTCATCATCTTTAGCGCGCTCGTCGCTCCCATCGGGGCTAACTATACACACTTGCCTGATTCCACACAACCGGTCCTTTGGCTTTGCAACAGCTTTACCATTGTTGATATTTGCAAGCCGTTTGCATACTAGGATGTCTGAAGCACATCCCTTTTCTCTCCCCTGGTGCGCTGCATAAGTGGTTGAGGTAGTTTCCACCACTGCACTTCGTAACAGTAGTATTCAGAAATGAAAAGCGCAGTTGTCATTAGATTCATTGATGAAAAAGAAAATTGGAGAAAGCCGCTCTCCACGAGGCTCTCTCCTTACCTTGAACAGAAAGGACGGATTAAGCTGGACGCTCAACACACCAAAACGACCTCGCTGCAGTATGGGCACAAGCTGAATCAGGTGGTGTCCATATGAACTGAGATTCAACAGGCAAAATGGCAGATATTCCGCAACCGACGTATGGGATTTAATACGCCTAGCAGGACAGAATCCGACTCTAATGAGTAGGCGCCGCGTGGCGACTTTTTGAGGAAGGTGCCCTTATAGTGCCCTGTCAAGTTGAAACATACTGACCTGTACGCCCACAAATGTCCAGCCGATGCTAATGCGCATATCGGTGTATATTTAGAAAGTGTTATGTGAAGCGAAGGGATTCATAGGGGGTGTTTACGTTGCTCATGAATATATGAACACGCACCTGCCCCATTTACCGT